TTTTTTTTGCAGAACAAAAACAAGGTTCGACTATTGAGAACATCCAAGTTCCTACAGTCTTAGTGGGATCAGAACTCACTCTAGTCAGCATCTTGGGAACACCCTTTTTGGAAAAAAAAAACAAAAAAAAACAAGAAGGGGCGATAGCCTTGGCTCTTGAGATATCGTCATTGAGCCGACCGTCCCCGAGTAATTCGGAAAATATTTCAGTTACTCATCTACTTCCATCATCATCTGGATTCGAACTCCGGTCTGTATTTCAATTTTCAACAATTCTTGGGTGTACCAACTGAGCTAGGCTTTTTGGACGAACCCCCTTAAAGCACTCGTACCTTTGTCGGTTCAGACAATACTGAGTGCGCCTCCGAACGTTCAGGAGTCCGAACCGAAATGACGGCTTCCGATTACATTTATCAATCGCAGCCGTCGTCGGCCCCCGCCTCCCAATTCTTCTGGAGCTCCCATTTTCCCTCATTTCTGAAGCGGCCAAGGTACTACTAGTGGTTTAAAATAATAAAATAACAAAAGAATCCTGACTCTTCCTGTGTCGTAAGCTCGTAGCAATATTTTGGTTTAGTCTGTTGTAGGAATCGGCAGTTCAAAAGACCTCAAATGTTCTCAATGATCTGTACAAGTCGATATGGGACGCTGGGGCCGGTTCCCAGCACGTGCTGCTCCCCACAAATAGACTGGAGCATTTGGTTATAAAAAAAAAAAAAGAAAAAAAAAAAAAAGAAAAAAGGAAACGGAAGTTCTCTCTGGAACTTTCTTGGACCCTTGGATCTTGGTAAGCGAACCGTGGATCTTGGATCTTGGTTCTGGAAGACAAACTGGATATCGCAAACTGGACATCGGCGCTTGGTTTTTCGGACCTTTTTTCGGTCTTTTGGCGCGTACCAGTCTGTATCGTAGAAGTTGACGATTGAAATGTGCATAGTTGTAAGACCTCCTCTTCCGAAAGGACTCTGCCGCAACAAGTAACTCGGCTTAGCAGCTGATTGCATCTGCAGTCCGCCGACTGTTGCCTAGTACTGTGGTTCTTACGTTATATCATTTGTTAGTCGCGGGCTCGTCCGTTAACGTCACCGAGTTTCGTGGTGACATTGTTAACAACCACGTGTTAGCATGTCGTATTTTTCGGGCTATATTGATGTGACGATTTTGTACAGCTTTTGTACTCCATGCTCTCTTGCTTTTTTTTTTTTTTTTTTGAAATAACTGCTCTCTTGCTCTCTTGCATTTGAGTGGTGCTGTTACTGCGGTGTTTGCAGTATTGGATTTTGCACAGGTTTTGTACTCCATGCGCTCTTGCAGTCTTTACAAGAGATTGCTTTCGTCTTCCTGTGGTCCCATGGTGATGAGAGCAGCAGCATGGAACACCCTTAGTTATTTTTTCAAATTTTAATTTTTTTTGGAACACACTTTTTTTTTTTTTTTTTTTTTTTCCAGAGAGACAGCTTGGATTGCACATTTCACAGAAGAAGAAAAAAATGCGGAATTCAAAATTTGAAATGCATTTTGCACAGGCAAATAGGCACACGTATATGCTCACAGGCTTAGCAACTGGGCATCCGCTGACGGAATCTGTGGCTCGGAGCAAAAGTTGGAAATATTGTACCTCTCGTGACGGGACGAGGACTGATAAGGACAATCAGTTTTATTTTAACAAGACGTCCATTTTATTATATAATATTAAGCTAGGGCAATCAAGTTTTTGAAAGTTCAGACAGCCAAATTTTTGCACATTGTTTTCTAGCCAACACATCTGTCTAGTAGTGTCTACCATATAGACAGAACCATACTACGCCTGTGTGGGCATGTATGTTGTTATCATACTTGCACGCACTCACAAGAGCAGCAACAATGACAATTTCATCGATACATCAGAAGATTGAACCTTGTTAGTCTGTCAAGGGAGTAGATGTCTCGGGAAGAAACAAGTCTATCTAGGATCCACTGCTCTATCTACACGGAATGCCTTGTGATACACAGCCGCACAATTTTACGGATCTCTCTCTCTCTCTCTCTCTCTCTCTCTCTCTCTCTCTCTCTCTCTTTCTCTCTCTGAATTTGTTGGCCAGCTGGCAGCTCATCATCAATTCACAAAATTGAAAATTCATGAATTGTCTTATCAAGTGCACCCCTTTGTAGGTGAGGCTCTAGTGAATTGTGGATAAGCACGTTTATCCATTTGCAATGCACGGAATTCAAACGGAAATGGAATTCAGATAAATGTTATGCTCCTCCATGAATTGCAGATAATGTTGTCCATGAGTATTGCTTCTGTTCGGTTATCCGTGAATAGTTTTCCTGATGTGCACTTGTTCATCTGCAGCTTCAACGAAATTCCTGAAAAAGTTTGACAAATTGCTAGTCATAAACCGTATGGTCTGTGCACGAGTTTTAATACGGTACATTCATAAACAGTACGGTCACAAACACAACACACCCTCATTATGTCTCTATTCTCCCATCCACATTCTGACAATGAATTTATACAAGTGCCTACCATATTGGCCCGAACACGATACACACCTTCATTGTGGATGTACCTGACCAGCAATATAGCTTGTATACATTCATTATCCGTGCACATTATGTTCATGTGGAGACGGTAGAGGCTTAATGCAGTGCACATAGTAGAGAGGGACAGACAAACAAACAGTAAGAGAAAGACAGCTCCTTTTTTTTTTGTAAGGAAAGCTTAATGTAATAATGCAGTGCAGATAGTAGAGAGGCAAGCAAACCATAAGGGCAATTAGGCAATTTCTCACCACTGATATCTACTGTTTCTACTCTAATTGCGCAATGTGCAAGCATGAGCTTATGGAGTGTATACATAAACACCTTTGAACGGTGAGGGTTTGAACCCAGGGTTATCAAATTGTATCATTGTAGTATTTTTTGTAGACCTACCTTCCTTTGCCGGAATAGAATGCAGGGTCATCATAGCTGTATTTGGGGTATCTTTCAGTCTACATACAGCGATAATGACCAGGAGTTCTGTTGGGCAAAGTTGGTAGGCTCAATCCAGTGCAGACAGTAGAGAGAGAGAGAGAGAGAGGGAAACTCCTCTCGTCTTCACCTCTGCTTGATTTGACATTGCTCTTAGATATATTCCCGATGCTTTTAAGCCACTCTACCTTTCCCATACATTGGCCACGGGTGGGAAAAAAGGCCGAAAGCGAAAACTGGCTGCTGATTGCATTTATCAACGGCGGCCCTACCCCGCTTGGGCACCTCATTACCCGCCGTGACTTGGAATACCAAGCGGGGAAAGGTACTGGCGGTTTAATATTTCATTTCAGGAATCAGAATACGTCTCAGATTTTGTACGCAGAGTCCTCCAGGTACATTTCAGATTTTATTTTTACCTTATGCGTCCAGATAATGACGGTTTTGTCGGCTCCGCCGGAAGCAAATCGCTTCCCGTCCCTTGAATACGCCACACAGTAGACAGTATCTTTGTGACCTTTTCACACACGGGTGATGAGCACAGATTGACAACAATACAAGCACAATTGTCGCAGCAATACTTCAATAGCAAACACTATGTTTTTTTTTTTTTTTCTGTTTTTTTTTTTTTGCTTTTNTCTCTCTCTCTCTCTCTCTCTCTCTCTCTCTCTCTCTCTCTGTTTGTGTGTGTATGTGTGTATGCAGCTCTAACCGTCACCTGCACGCGCGTGCCTTTGGCTTTTTTTTTTTCTTTCTTTCTTTCTTTTCTTAAGGCGACGACCTTGAGATATCATTGTTCAACTGACTAGCCCTGGGGCCAAGTCCCACTAGCAGCGTTGAGTTTCCTCAACGCCTGAATGTGGACGTGTTTGTGGAGATGTGCGGTTGAGGAAACTCAACGCGATTTCTGCACATCTCCTCAAATGCGTCCGCATTCAGGCGTTGAGGAAACTCAAAGCTGCTATTGGGACTTGGCCTTGGGTAATTCAGAAGTATTTTATTTTCGTCATCTAATTGTGACTGTATTCGAATTTGGGTCTGTATTTCAACAGTTCGTGGGTGTAACAAGCTCGCTGTTTTTTTTTTTTTTTTTTTTTTTTTTTTTCCGGGCGGGGGGCGGACAATGCCGGACATTGCTCCTTTTTTTTGGTACAACAGCGGTCCAGCCTCTTAACCTGGCCAGTGATGCCTCGTTCATCAGTCAGGCACATGCAAACTCCGGCCTGCGCACCCGCACCCTCACGGTAAGTCGATAAAAGACAGGCACACAGTCCAGCAAGCAGGTGGGTGAGCTGTGGGGCAGGCAGCAAGGCAACCAAACAAAAATCCAGGGAAGTGAACAGGTAGATGGAGAGTAGGGAAAGGGAGGCAAGAGGTGAGATGGAAAGGGCGCAGAGTAGCAAGGCAGCGGCGGCAAGGCATTCCATCCATATAACACGGACCAAAGCAGGCTACCTGCACTACAAGTACGAAGTACTACGAACTCTACAGGTTATGGGAACTCTGTAGGTTCATGCCACCGTTATGGGTCGGCGAGGGCAACACTGTTATGGGAGTCTGCCGTCAGCAGGAATCGCAGAGACACACAGGCATCCCAAACAGATGAGCCACCCTACTATAGTGTTGTAGACAACAAACAGGCACCGAGTATTTGGCACATGTTGAGGGTGCTGGACTTAGACACACGAGGACACAGAAAAGGCCAGAGGCTCAGAGCTCGTACAAGGCCGACAAGACAAAGAAAATACTTGGAATGAGAGGGAGAAAAGAAATTGTTAATACGATTGTGTTTACGTTTGGGGGGGGGGGGGGGGGGGGGGGRAAGGGGGAGTCTTACCCTTAAGGGAATGAAGAAGGTCTCCATCTGCTGCATCGTACATGAGAACGCGGCTGCCAACCGCAGCAATGAGTTGTGATCCATCTGCAGCAGTCAAGTGGCATTTCCAAGTATGGAAACAAATGTACAAAAGAGGGAGAGGCAGGCATGAATGACAGGGAGAGAGGGAGAGGCCGCAAATAAGCTGAAAAGGCCTGAAATTTCTGAAAATGAAAACCAAACAATAATAAAGAAAGACAAGAGAAGGAAACAAATGTAGAAAATGGAATGGAAAATGATGAAACAAAAAAAATTGCTGGGAATTTAAGAAATGCATTTTGCTGACTAGCATGCACTGTGTGTATAAAAGGGTCATATGATCTAGAGTAAAGTGCTCTAGAATAGTTTATTATGTACATACTACATATGAATATGTGTAGAACTTGAGTGGTGTATGAGTGGAAGAGTTGAGTATTCCTTGATGCTACGGTATCAGGGATGGATGGGGAGGAGGTGTTGCGCCATGATATTAAAAGTTTAAAACTCACGGCATCTTCTTCTATTATCTTTCCATTGTGTGTATTTCACTGATGTGTACATTCCTCTCTTTTTCTTTCTCCACTTGTTATACCTACCAGCTCCAGATTCAGAAGCAGAAAGGTATAACAAGTGGAGAGATTCAGAACTAGAAAGGTATAACAAGTTGAGAAAGAAAAAGAGAGAAATCTACACATATTTGTATACACATATTTATATGTACATAAATCATAAATGACCATTCATACATTTATATGGACAATGGAAGAGAAACAGCTAAAGGAAAATGTACAATAACATAGCGATGCGATCATTGTGTGTTGGTCTAATTGCAAGGCTCAAGAGTCTCATATGCACTCTGGAAATTGTGTCGAATTCTCATTCGAAGGGAAAGGTAGGTCAAGGGTTGTTTACAGTAAACCCTGGTGTGGCAATGGTAGGCCTCGTGCGAACGGGCCCAGGCACTTTGGAGAGCTATCACCAGCAGGCACGCCAGTAGTATTCCATGTAGGCCGGTTCAACAAAAGTGGTGTTTGGCGAGTGTTTCGAAATGTCGTACGTTCTTTTGTAATGTCATATATATGTTCTTTCATAATGCCGTACATTCTTTTCCTAAGTCTGTTTTGCAACTATGAACTCAGCAAGGAGGGTGGAGCAGATCTACCTGGATGCGGTGGATGGCAGATGCTACTCAGGTGAAGTGGGAGAGAAGGGTGGAGATGGTGGTGGAGATGGTGGTGGAATGGTGGTGGAGATGGATGCTGTCAAGAAGAAGGGTGGTGGAGATGGTGGTGGAGATGGTGGTGGAGATGGAGATGGGGGTGGAGATGGTGGTGGAGATGGAGATGGTGGTGGAGAAAGGTGGAGATGGTGGTGGAGATGGAGATGGTGGTGGAGATGGATGCTGTCAAGAAGGAGACAACAGGACGCAGGACACACACCTCCCGCTCACACCATACACACGTAACTCCAATAACTCACAATCAAGAGAATAGTCAAAATGGACACAGATGGAAGATAGTGTATAGTCCTATCTGACTGAGTGGACGCACTCGACTCACCTGTACCGACGGCGGTACTGGTCGAAATAATAAACGGCATGTGAGATCAGGCCAACGAACTGGTCCCAGAGGCCGACCAAGCAAATAGTCAGAATAGGCCCGGCTATAGCCCAGGCCAAATAGAGTATCACTGCAGGGGGGGAGTTTTTTGCAGAGTGCCATGAGAGGTGAGATAAAGTGCAGCAGTGAAGTCCTTTCTTTTTTTTTTGGTTTGGAAATCCAGGCCCGGTCTGCTAGAGGGGCGGATACGAGCATCCCCTTCTAGCAGGCCCGAGGCTGGCTGCTCCATTCTGTTGGTGGGGAGCCGCTGGAGGATCCAGATCACAAACACCCCGGAGGAGGCGATTTTGAAATGCTCCCTCTTTGCGCCGATGATCTCAATAGTCTACTATGGCCGACACGACTGAGCAAAATATGGAGGAGATACAAAAAATGATGGATCGGTTCTGCAAACTCTCCGACATGCATCACCAAGGGGGCACCCACCGGAGATCCTGCACATTGAGTGGCTCCCCTTGGAGGCAGCGGTGAGATTGTTGGGACTCGGGAGTCCAAATGACGGCCCAGGGTACGCCCGTCATTAACGACGACGAGTGGATCTGGAGACCGACGCAAACCAAGATGGCTAACTGGAATTAAAAACATACCTCGATTTTTGGGAGAGCCCTGGTCAGGAACAGCGTGGTATTGGCTTCATCGTGGTACAAGTCCTGAGTATGGCCCCTTATTGAGACAACCCTCAAAGCAAGCAGCGACCTTTTTTGTGGAGAGGAGACAGCGACTGTGGGCATGCCATCAGCCAGGTTGCATAGGACTCAGTGACCCATCCCAAGGCAAAAGGGGGTCTGGGCACCATAGACCCCACCACTCAGACCCAAGCCCTCAACCTACAGTGGGTCAAGAATCTTATTCTCAAGGGGGATCAACCAGGGCACCCGCTGGCCTTGGAACAGATCGCCCAACTGGCGTCCGACACCGCTGCTAACGCGTACCCCATGATGTGGCTTGATGGCAGATATTGGAAATTCCCTCGCAGGGGTGGGGGGGACCTCAGGGAAGATCCGGCAAAGGACAAATTTTGGCCGCGAGTGATTAAAAACTAGCGGAAACTCCCCCCCCCAGACTGGCCACAGCCGGAGAGGTGGGAGGAAGTTTACCGCCAACCCCTCTTTGGAAACCGCCACATTACGGACACACGAGGGCAGATTAGGTACAGCTCGGGAGCCCCGTGGAAGGGTTGGGTACAACACGGAGCGAGGAGGGTGGGAGGGTGGGGGACTTATGTGATGAGAACATGGGAACATGGAGGGCACTGGAACAGTTGAGGGGGCAGGTTGCGATGCCGTCACCGGATGGAGGCGACAATGAAAGAAACGATCGAAAGCCTCCCTTTGGCCTGGTATAATATTCTGAGACGTGGGCCCACCTTCAAGGAGAAAGATTGGGTGATGCAGGGAGGGGATCCCAACTGGACGAGGCTGGTGCATATGGAGAGGCCGGACGACCTGTTCATGCATTACTACAGAAGGGAAAAGCGTGGCAAGTTGGTGGGTAGCACCAACCCCTTTTTCTGGTTGGATAAAGCAAAGGTTTCCAGAGTTTGAGTGCTTGAAGATGGGGAGGACCACTGGGTATACAGACCAGGCACCCCTATCAAGGAGCCAGGCGTTGACCCGATGAGTAGAGGTGGACAATTGCCCCCAGGGCCCAGGACCAACACATCGGGACAGGTGCATCGAGAAGCTCACGGTCAAAAACACATGCAGAATGATCAGAAGTAGACACAATCTGGGTGACATTGTGAATGACCGCTGGTATCAGAATTAGACACAATCTGCTCCATCCGATTCCGCGGTTTCAGGACAGCAAGTGCAAGCCAGCTAAAATAACTTTCCCTATGGTGACAAATTGCCCACAGGTGTTTACCCACAGTTGTTTACCCACAGTTGTTTACCCACCAATAACTGGTTAGTGTAGCACACGGCATTAGAACAGCAGGGCCGGGCCCTCCCCTGGTGCAGCAGATGCCTCCAGAGGTACCCGGCAAGGAAGACGGCTGAGACTATAGAGCACATCTTCCTGTAGTGCCCTGCCTGCTGTCCTCACCTGGCGATGGCGGGACCGAATTTGGCAACATGTAGTACCCGGACCGTATTGGCCGTGGGACCGGCGGGCTATTCTGATGGGGTACTGGCCCAGACAGTCCAAAGACGCCTTCACTGGAAATATGTTCACCCTGGGAAGACAGACAATCTTGTGGGCATTATGGTGGCAAGGGAGCAAATAAAACGCTCGAGTCCAGCTGGAGATAACTCAAAACTGGCAGGACTGGATCTCCTCTTCCAGCCAAAGGACATAAAGGAGAATATCACTCGCTTCTGCCAAGAATGGCTGGGGGGGGAGAGAGAGGGATGGATTGCGGAGGTGGCCTGGACAGGAGACACAAAAGAGGGAGGACAGGAGAACGGGGAGGAGATGCTGCGGGATTGCAGGGTGAATTTCAAGGAATGGACAAATATAGACCCCAGTTTCCCTTTGAGAGCGGTTATGGATTTTCCGGACATGTTTCCCCCCCACCCAATGTCGTTCGTTGAACTTAGTATTTCTCATGTTTTCTCATGGTTTTGGCAGATGGGCTGAAGAATGGACAGGACAGGGACCTAGGAGTCTAGGAGAGAGAAGGGAGAGGCTCGGAGTATGCCCCTGGTGCCCCCCAGGACCTTACTCGTACCCACTCCACAGGTGGCGGGCCGCTGGACCCAAGTCCCAGATGCGAAGTTAGGTGGTCCTAGGCAGAGGGGACGCTGGACCCGGTTTCCAGCAGGTGCTGCTCCCCACCAATAGACTGGAGCTCCTTAATTTGAAAAAAAAAAAGGAAAAAAAAAAAGAATAGGATTTTCCTCCATGTATCTGACTGGAATTACAGCCTGACATGGATGTATCTGGCCGCAATTAGGTCCGGAGCTCAGTAGGGGAAAAAAGTCCTATTGTGAATATGCTCTTAGAGGACAAGCTGCTTGCAGAACCACTAAAGTAGTTGCATGTTTTCTTCTCTTTTCCTTTTTCTTCACTCTTGAGTCTTTTCCATTTTTTTTTTTTTTGCCCTTAGTACCTGGTCGAAAAGTGATATCATAACAGACACTCCTGATCCCGTCCCGCTCCGGCTGCGAACGAATCAACGCCGATTTCCAGCAGTTAGTTAAGTTTTTTTTTTTTTTTTTTTTTTTTATTGAAACCTCTCCT